ATGGTCTATCCTCGTCATTGCTCAAATATAGCGCCGGCTCAGTCACAGATGTTTGCGTCCCCGTTTAACCATTTCATTTACACATGTTCAATTCCGAAATCCTCTTCATCTAACATTTTATCTAACCGCTTTTGTCCTATTGCTATCACTTCTTCTGGACTCATACTTGCAGAGCGTGCTATTCTCACCCGCTTGCAGTCTCGTATTTTTGTTCCCAGTGGCCCGCTCCAGTTTGTGTACATTCCAAGTAAATGCACTTTAGATGCTGTCTCTTCAATGCTGCACTTTGCTTGCAAATCTTGAAATCATTCTCAAAAGTCCGTTCGTTGTGTTTTCCTTGACTATTCTTTCGATTCCGTTCCACGATCTCTTCTACTAAAGTTACAGTCATTCGGTGGCCTCACCATTTTATTGTCGTGGTTGAAGTATTATTTCACAGGAAGCATTCAGAGAACAAAAGTTAACGGCGCTATTTCAAAACCATTAGTGAATAATTATGGAGTCCTTCAGGATGCTGTGCTGTCTCCCTACTTATTTTCAACTTTCATCAATGACTTACCCTCAATCCCACTAGCCAAGATCTTTAAATATGCTGATGATGTGATCTTATGTCAAGCCATTTCAAACCAACCTGACATCAAATCATTTTCTAACAGTTTATTAGAAGTGTAATCATTCTCGGACCAATCCGGTCTCCGTTTGAATACTTCTAAATGCTTCGACTACATTTTTCGTCTTTCCCAATCCGAATATCCCTTGGGGTCCTCAGTCATCAATTCCGTACCCATCACCAGAACACACTAGCGAATACCTAGGAGTCACCATAGATAGCAATCTACGGTGGTCCTCTCATGTGCTTGCTTGTGTAGGTAGACTGCGTCATTTATCTTTTCAAATACGCAAGCTACGATGATTTCGAGTGAAGCGCGAAACTGTGTTCCTTTGTTTATCACCTGTTTACGTTTTATCATTGAGTTTTCATTTCATTTTTATCCCATTATAATGGTGAACACATTTTTGACTCAAATGTAGGCACAGTTGCCTGCAAACGTCATCTATAATAGTACAATACAATGGCAAGCATACTGAGTAGCAGTACTAGTAGCACTCAGTAGAGAATCAGTTTTAGAGCGTCACCTGAATAACGATGATGTCAGACGATGTGTCTTAGGATCAGATAGTCATCCATTGAGCAAAGTTATTTCACTGGATCGTCTTGGGTGGCTGAGGCACGTCCTGCGAATGCCTGAAGAACGTCTACCATGCCGTGCACTATCTGCAGATATTGGTCTGGGTTGGAAGAAACAGTGAGGTTGGCAGGCTGAGACGTGGCGTAGAGGGTTAAAGAGATTGTGCTCGGATCTGGCTTCCGTCGGTACTTCCCATAAGCCGGCTGGGTTTCCAAAGATTCAGATTGTCTTTGGCTGGAAAGTACAAATACGGGCTTGGGGTGGAGAGCATTACCATCAGCATATTTCTTTTATGTTTGATCATTTGAAAATTTCTGATTTTTCCTTATTTTTGCAGATATTCCTTGGCCATGTTCTGTGATCGGCGTTTCTTCAGACTCCGCAAATGATCAACGATTGGAAACTGAAGCTGACGAATTATCTCCGGCAGCTGTCGACTTAATCAAAGGCCTTTTGTCACCTTCACCGTGCGATCGCATGCTTGTGGTGTCTCGATTGCGAAACTGTGCCTTCTTGGCATCTTTCAACGATTGGGAACACCTGGATCAATTGGAAATGCCGTTTGTTCCCTGTCCGGACGATTCTACTGATACTACATACTTTGAAGTAAGCCTAATCTCGTCACAATCCCGTTCAGTTTTCACTACTTTTAGTGAACACTACACGCCGATTTCTTTGTGGGTCCAAACGGCTCAAAATTCTGCACAAAACTAGCAGCAATCAGTCATAAATGAAAAGGAGTGATGACCAGTTAGAAGAATAAGTGCTACACCATGTGGTGTTGAAGTACATTGTACTAACAAGAGCCCAGCTGCTGTGACCTAGTCATTACTTCGTCTTTTCCGATTTGGAATCTCAGTTATCTAAATATAGTATCGGCTTTGCATATTTTATATATATTTCACACACGTCTGTGTCAAGACTGTATGGCAAACTAATCACAGTCCAATAATCTTTATAAAAAGAAGGAGTTCGATTATTTGCATGCGGATGGAATACTAACAGACTGCCCAGGCCGAGGCAGATGAACTTTCTTGAAGAATTCGCAGACGGAGCCTTCGAGTATCCAAAGTCTCACTCGGTGTGTAACAACCGATTTCATTGGGGACCGGTGTCCAGTTCATCGGATCATACGCCCTTTGGACGGAATTACATGTCCAAGATGCTCAATGCAACTTGATGCCCGATTGAGCCGGTAACCATTGCATCAACCAGGAAGGTGTGTGTGTAGTCCGTACTCCTCTTCTTGATTGGTTTGGAATCAGAGTTTTTAGCTAACTCCCCTAGGTGAACTACCAGTAGTTCATCGACCCGGTTTTAGCCCCGGGATGTAGGCTTTTCGTCCTATCACTTTGATGAGGTAACACCGTCACGGGAGGGCAGTGAGTAGGGCTTCTTCAGCACAGGCTATTTGAGACGCTCGATCGTATGGAAACATTTCGTGAAGTGCAATGGAAGGGTGACCAGCCACAACCCGATTGACGTCGCCATCAAACCCATCAGTGAAGTTTCACTCACGCCTCTTTAGGGACCCTGAGGCTGCGGCTTCCGGTCTTGC